TCTGTGTGAATAACATGATAGTTTTTATTTTTTTTATTTATAATCAGAATGTTTGTGAATTAGTTTTTGCATACTTTAAAACTAATTTTTTCTATGGCAATCTTACATCGCATCTTCCACATTAAATTGATGCATTTAAAAAAAAAAAAACTTTTTTTAGATGCTGATTCCAAGAATTGAATTTTAAACCTGTTTTACATTATGTTTATATATATATATATATATATATGTACACCCTGGATCTCAAGTTGCACTTCGTGCAAATTTTCTGTATTTAAAAAAAAAAATTTCTGTAATTATAAATTTTTATAATAATAATTAATTATAAATATATTTTAGAATTTTTTTGATAATTAATAATTTTAAATATATTAATTCATAAAAAGCTGTAAATGGTAGACATAAGAAAGATGATTTAAGTGTACAAATCTAATCAATTTAATTTTAAAAAATATAGATAAATTTTTTTATTTTGTTATTATATTAATAAATTATAAAAATTTATCAATCATCTCTATCTATTTTCTTTTTATATTAATAAATTGTTTGATATTATTCTCATTCCTTTACAATCTCCTTCTTGCCTCCTATCTTTATATATTCACATACTATACTTTTCTTAATTTCTCACATTAAAACTAGATCTTTATATATTTTTCTTTAAAGCACTTTTGATTCTCTAGTTTATTTTAACATCATGCTACACTTATTTCATTGTTATGCCTTTTAATGCAGATTTGATTAAAATTGTATCTCTCCTTACCTCCCATCCATATATATTGTTACACTTTTTCCCATTGGATATTTATTAAGAATTTTTTAAAATTCATTGAATATTTATTGATAATTTTTTAAAATCAAATAGTAATTTAATCACCAATAATGTTTTTGAGAAATTTATAAATCCACTTAATGTATTAATATTTTTTTTGTCAATGTCTAAATTATAGAAATAGATTATGCCTCCACCTCTCAAGAGTTAAAATTCTACTTTCTTCAAATCCTCGAGCGTATTTCTGGAGTACTAGAGTTCTACACTTAGACTCCAAGACTTTGTTCCAAGGTCAATGATTAGAGTTACACCTCAACGAAGTCATACATATTGGTCATTAAATTCATAAAAATCCTAAGTAAATTAAAAGAAAAAAGATTTATAATTTTTCTTCTGCTGCTCCCTTTTAAGCCATCTTCATCATCATGTAGGATCATAACAAAAATTGTCAATTTTGGTGTAAACACTTTTTCTTGTAAATAAGAAAGTGTGCTTTAAGATGGTTGAACCACTAATCTCATAATCATGATAAACAATGGCAGAAAAACTAAATTACAGGGAGGAAGTGTAATGCCGTCACGAAAGTATATAAGCATAAAGAATGAAATAAAAGTTGAGATATAAAACTAAACTTAAAGGAAGTTAGAAAGATAAATTTAGAGTAAAATGCATTAAATTAAATTGAAGGAAATGAAATACATCAATGACTATGTTCAAATCAAGATAACAAAAACAAGAACTCGAACTAGTTGCAGCGTAGAGTTAAGGGCTAAATTAGGAAAACTATTTGAGAAAACTATATATAAACTAAGACATTGCTTGAGAAAATTGAAATGTAAATAGTGTTGGGCTAGTTGTGTGAGAGGCAAGTATTGTTTGCTTGATCTTATCATTGGATATTTATAGCACCTTCGTAGCATGATGAAGTTTTGCTTGTAGCATCTAGAAAACCAATGGTAACATGAAATCTGTAGCAACCTCCTAAATCAATGGTGGTAAGGTGTAGAGTTGCAACAAAATCCTAAAAATTAACAGTAACATGCTGAAGATTTGCAACAAACCAACTAATTTGATAGTTATGTGAAAACAACTGTCCAAATTTAAAGATAAGACTACAACTGTTAACTCTTGACTCCTTCAACTTCAAAACAAATGGGGACACATGACTTTTTCTAATTAATTTGCAAAAATGAGTGTAAACACATGCTCATCAAAATCATGAACACAAAATTTTAAATTCACATCAATGATGGTGCGGTTGATGGGCATGCCTAAGGTCTAGAATGTGTTGGAATTGATGAGAAGGAAAGTTATTTCAACTAAAACCTAAGATTTCACATTTGCAAAATAATAAAATCTTGCACTTTCATCTGAACTTTTTCCAAAATCAAAATCCACATTTTGCAATTGTAAGTTTCAATTTTAAAGCATGTCTTATAATTAGTAGGTTGAGAGATTCGAGTAATGCATGTATTTTTACAGGTTTGTTTTTTTTATCTCAAAAAAAGTTTTAAACTCATACTTAAATATTTGAGTTGACATACTTAAATATTTTAAAACACAATAAAAAAATATAATAAAACAATAGAGTATTTTCAACTCAGCTCATGATATGGCCTCTAGAATACAAAAATAGTTCAAAGAGAGTTATCACTCACCATACAACCACAAATTAAGAAAAAAAATCCAATCTCCTTAGCGTAATTAATGTTATAACACTTCAAGCAATTATATAACAAACTTTTTTTTTTTTCAATCCTAAAACTAATTATACAATTATTATTATTAAAAAAAATTTGATTACATTCGTTATACTTACTTAAATTAACAATACAATACAACTGTCGCCAAGTGTGGCATGGCCTCAAGTAATTAATTATAACAAATATCGATACAGAAGGATTACTTTTTCATAGCACTTTATAGAAGTTATAGTTTAATCTAATTAAATTAATTTTAATTCATATTTTATATAATTTAATAATCATATTGATTTATAAAACTCATTTTAATGCAATTATCAAATAGTAATATAATTTTTCTCATAGTAAAATATTAAAAAAACACAACCATAACACTTAGCAGCATTCTCAAATGCAACCAAAATCATAAATATTCTATTTTCCAAACAGTAACAGTGACATTAACGTGTGTAAAGTAAAAATTGTAAGACGCATTACACATAGGGGGTAAGAACTTCCAAGAACAAGCAGCACACTTTCTTTCAATTTGCTTTTCCTCTCGTAAAATTTGTCTGTAGAGCAATGGCTAAGAAAAGCAAGTGATTTTGAACTTAGTGATATTGAACTTACTGATATGTTACCACTAGGACCTGCTACCTAAAACAACTCTACCCGCTAAAACATTCTCTGGGGACATAAAATTTCAGAATAAAATAGAACAATAAAAGTATCTGATATCAAATAACAGAACAACTTGAGAAAGTTTCCATTATTCTTTGGAAAAAAGGAAAAAGCAACAGTATACCATAATAGTTTTGAACTATAAGGAGGAAGGAAAGAAAAATGAAACAGGAGAAGTCACTGAATTGTGGTTCAGCCTGAGGATGGAACAGAGGCTTATTATTTTTTGACAGACGTGGAAATGAAAGCATGGTGCAAATTTTAGGTGATGATGGGGCAGAGTTTGCACGCTGGGGCAAGGGTCTTAGGGTTAGAGACTGGTGGCAGGAGGGAAGCTGGGCCCTTCCTAGCAGTTCGGCACTTCCTAGCAGTTCGGCACTTCAGATCAGCCAACCAATAAACCATGGACTCCAAATTGATAATTTAAACCCATCAAATGGATAATCACAAGGAACCCACACTTATAAGGCCAACTCTTATCCATATGTAGCCCAAAAGCTATCCAAATTCTATTTTAAGACTGACCATATTCCATCCACTAACTGCTTCCTCCATGTGGCAGAACTTGGTTGCGCTTCAGCTTATCCCATGGTGCTTCGTGCAACTTATCAACGCCTTTTGCCTGGTTGCCCATTCATCTGCTCACAATTTGGCAAAATGACAGCCAGCCAACTTCTATCATGGACACGGAGCACCATCAGGCTTGTGCTAATAAAGAATTAATGATATGCGGACAACTTATTTATACAGTAGTCACTCTTTGTGGGTTCTGGTAAGAGGAATTTGGGCCAAGCAACACCTCCACTGATAGTGCATCACGATACCACTGAAAAAGTGAGTGAAATCTATTGTTCAAAGAGAGGGCTCCAGCTCTAAAGATAGTCTAAATGACTGGGAGAAAACAAGCCTTCCACAATCGTACCACAAATGCCTAATAAACTTCTAAGAGCGATATATGACCAATTGAATCGGTTGTTGCAGCTGATGTGCTACTCAGTGACAAGGTGTGTTTTTCACCCTTTTCTTTCTAGTGCGATCCTTCAAAAATGTCAAAGGTGAAGCAGTAATGACATCAATAAGATATTCAAAAAAGATTTTAGAAGACTAAAAAGGAGAATGTTAATCTTATATGCTAAATGACATAAAATTCAAAATACAACAGCTACTATAACAATAAACTAATACACAAACAACACATGAACAGAAACAAATAAGGCCTGCCTAAGTAACTTTCCCCATTTCTATTACACTTTAACCATATCTCCATAACAATAAGGACTTTTAACAGTCAATACGGGTTCATATTTGTACAAGCACAGATGGGTGCACATATCAAAATGAGAAAGAAAAGCAGGAAATTAGGACACTATAACAAGAAATGTAGCTGGCTGAAAAATGAGAAACACCACAAATATAACTTATATAGACTTACAGTAAATTGAGGTTGTTAAAAAATGTCATTATGATGTTAGCGAAGTACACAGACAAACAAAGATCAGCTATATGAACTTAATCTTCTGACATTGTTTCTATTTTCTTAATGAAACAATTTAGATTCTTGATAAAACAGTTATATCTTTCAACTTTCAAGTGTCCTCAGTCTTAGGCTCTTAGTTACAACATAAAAGCATAAATTCTTACTGTGATCTATTATTAAATGAGCTACATATTATATTATCACAAAACACAACAAACTTACTCACCTGAAAGTTAAGATCACAGCATCATCTCCTATGGTGACCCCACAACCTGCCTGACAATGAAAGTAGCTTAATTCAAATACCAGAATAGATTCAGAAAGTTTCCATTATTCATTGGAAAAGAGAAAGCAGAATAACTAAAAATGAAACAGGGATATAACACTTTTGTATTATTAAATTATGTTTTCTCGGAAATCATGTAGCCCAAAATTACTCAAAACTTTAGACCATTTGGAGCACTTCTACAGAATCTATCTGCAAGTAGCAAGCTAATTACAAAAGGAATCAACTCGAGTACCACTAATGAAGGAGGATTATGTCAATGATTGCTGCAATAACACACAATAACTAAAAGCACAAGAACTAGCAACAGTAATCTAATAAAAGCACTCGGTGGGTAAACTAGTGGTGTCCCATTTCCATACTAAAACTCCTAGTCAATAGATCCAGTGGGTGTCAAATTTGCATATTATATTTAAAAGAAAATTGATTTGAATCTATAGACTTCTTTCTCCAACCTAAACTTATCTTAAAGATTATGGCATACCTAAAGAATTTCTTTCCGAGGCAACAGTCATTCTTTGTTGGTTCCAAGAGGAACTACACCCAGACAACCTCTGTTGATTAGCATCCCTACGAACAAGCAGCTTGAGTCATTATATCCTTAAAAGAGTAAGTGGAATTCATTAT